GGCTGGGGCCGGGCAGGGGTGCCCAAGGCGCGGCGCAGCATCGGCCCCGCTCAGGGCATCGCGGTCCCCCGCAGCACAACGGCGCCCTTGTGCCCCTGGAGCCGGCACTTTTGGCTGTACAGCATCTTTTGGGTCCATTGTCCCCCAAACCTGTCAATGGTGGTCCCATTGTAATACCAAATAGCAAAGAGCAGCACAAATGACACAAAGAAACTATGGCAAAAGAATAAGAGGAGATGCTGTTTTAAATTGAGGCGAATAATTTGATTCCACCTTTTAACATCAATTAATAATTTTATTAATTACAGCAAGCGATAGCAAGCAAAACAGCGCTGGGTTCAGCTGGGAGCCTGGCTCTACCAAAAGCTGACCCCCTTTCCTTCTCTTCAGTCCCTTTTTATCTTGCATGAGTGGGGGTGATGAGTCTCGTTCCACGGTGGTTATCAGTCCCAGGAACAATGGGTTTCACAAGTGGGGGTGGTGAGTCTCCTTCCACTGGGTTATCAGTTTCAGCAACAATGGGTTTCCACTGCGGTTATCAGTTCCAGCCAGTCCTGCAAAATCTTTCACAATGTTTGTGGTTACCAGTCAAGCCTGCAAATTCCATGTCCCGACTTCCCCCCCTTTTATTCTAATTTTATACTTTTGATGAACAAACAATTCAATGCAGTTCCTCACAGATGCCCAGAGAGGAAAGGATGTGGTGACACACTGGCGCATCAAGTGAGCTGCACTCCCATAACCTCTTGGCTAGCAGGTCCTGCTCTCACATTCTACATTTGTTTATTTATGTTTAATTTATTTCGGTTCTTTAAATCATTAAAAAAAATATATCCAATTAAAAAGATGTCATCAAAATTTGAAGATACAGTCAAAACACATTACTCAAAACTATGAGAACATTTGTACATCTCTAACCATACTAAAAGAAGTCTATAAAAGTCTATAAAAATCTATAAAATTCTATCCAATTCTATAAATTTCTATAAAATTCTATAGAATTATTCAATTCTATAAATTTCTATAAAATTCTATAGAATTCTAAAAATGCTATAAATCCTATTCTTGAAACATTCTTTGGACGGTGGGAAGCTTCTTCCTGAGCCTGGAGAAAACAAATCTCTTCCAGACTGCAGGCAAGGACTTTATGGGAGAACATATGTAAATCTCTAATTATACTTAAAAACTTCTATAAAATTCTATAAAATTCTATATAGCTCTAAAAATGCTACAAATCCTGTTCTTGAAACATTTGTCCGATGGTGGGTAGCTTCTTCCTGAGCACGGAGGACAGAGAGCTCTTCTGAACTGCAGGCAAGGACTTGGTGGTAAAGGGGACATAGAAGGTGTCCAGAGAAAACTTCTTGGTATCGCTGCAGCCAGTCAGATCTGCAAAGTAGAGAGACCAAGGGTAACAGAGGCCACAATGCAAACCTAAAGCATATAAAGCTCCAGATTTCATGGGACAGATTTCCTGGAATCTTCTAAAGAGCTGCACAGGGAAGCACGCTGCTGCTGGCAGCCCCTTGAAGCAGGCCCGGGGAAAACCCTGACCCGCTTCCACAGGGCTGCCACAGGAACAGCCTGGCCTCTGGGCTGTCCTGGGACAGCAGGGAGCCCAGAGCCCTGTGCTTTCCAGGAATGGCTCAGCTGCACATGCACCCTCCTGCTCCTCTCCCTGCCCCACAGCTGAGCAGCCCTACAGCTCCAGGGGCACTGGCAGAGCACAGCTGATTGCAGGGGCACATGCAGAGCACAGCTGTTCCCTGGCAATGTGCACAGGCTCTCTGGGCTGCCACAAGAGCCTTCCTCCCACCAGAGAGCGGCCCAGCTCCCCCTCACCTTTTTGTGAGGCTAAGCCATGCTCAGCCTTCACATTGTCGTCATTGTTTGGAGTTGCTTCAGGGCTCCCATTTCATGTCAAGGAAGGGCGATGGAGAGCGGGGGCAGATGCACACCCTTCCTTAGTGTTTTGTCATTTTTGGTAGACGTAAAAAGTCATATCCGGAGGTGTCCAAGTCAGAACTTTGTCATTTTCCGGAGAACATGAGACCTTCACCAGCCCAAAATGTCGGAGAGGTTTTCCTGCACGCGTGGAGGCTTGCTGGCTGCACACTTCTTCAGCTTGGTGCCCATCACCTCATAGAGGGCCAAGGCAAGCCTGGTGGCCACCGTGCGGACGCTGGCGCTTCGGACTGGCAGCGCCTTGTTCTCCAGGAAGGACCAGAGCACGGGCAGGGCGTAGCGCTCGACGACTTCAGGGCTCCTGGCATAAACCCACTCCACAAGCACTGCCGGGAGAGAGGCACAGCTTCTTACCCACCAGCCTCCATGCAAACAAGGGTCTACCTCTGCTTTTGCTTCTTGGAAGCCTCTCTGGCTAAGATCAGCAAAATAGCACACAGAGCCCCATGATCCAGAAACGGGCAAAGCCGCTGATCATCCTTGAAACTGAACCACCAATGCCTCAGGACTAATTTCTCCAAACAGAGCCTTGTCCCTGTGGCAGACTTTGTACCTTTACTAAATTATTTCACAATTTGTTTCTGCATGAACAATGAATGAAATGTCAAATTGCCTTTTATTTCCATTCAGAAGTTGTCTAAACACACACTGAAGATTTGGAAATGCACCGCAGGGAGGCAGTTGAGTGATTTCTAATAAAGGGGGTGATTCCATTTTGTAACTTCCATGTAAAGTGCCAGAAGTCTTATCTGACTCCCCTTTGCTCAGTGGCACACAGCAAAGGGCAGTTTTAGAACACACTTCAAAGCTCCAGCCCACCAGAGATGGCAGCTGCTTGACAGCTGCCTTAGAAACATCGGTGACTGGCTGGTGTCTTTGGCAGAATGCTTTTGTGGCTTCCAACACGGAGCTGTTTCAAACCTCAGCGTGTCTTAGGGAATTACCCAGACCCCACTGCCATGGAATTTGAGCATCTTCATGTTTTAATGGCAGTTCCCCTCCCAATGTTAGTGGCATTTTTTCTTACAATGTGCACTGAAATAGGGGCATAGAGAAAGAAAAAATGCTACACAGGGGACTGAAATGTAACCAAAAGGCAAGTGTTTTCTCTCATTGAAATCTGCTCTCTGCTCATTTTCTGGACTGAACTATATCAAAAACAGACAAAAATTTGCTAACAACAGGCTCCTTGCATGGCAGATTTTACTGAGGGATTAAAACCTGAAATGCTAGGGAGACCAGTCTTATTTTTTGATCAGGCCATACCTGTGATACACTCCGTGACAGCCAGCAGAGCTTCGCCATTCAGTTGGCTCCATTGGTTGCCGAGCTCTTTCATCAGTGATACTTTATCTACAAGTGAAACGCACATTTCTGCTCACTCTTCTGAGGTCATAGCAGAAAGGACAGTGGGGAGGGAAAGGGCAGGGGCAATCCCATTTTATAAAAGAAAGTCATATTCTGCTGATTTTTGAATCCTTTTCTTCTTTCCTGCCAGCCTACTTGGCAGGGTTAAAAGTTCCAAAAGAAAAGCTCTCCTTTCACATTTGAAAATCCAAAGTTGTCTTCTGTACCAGGAGCTAAGTTAACACATTTCACATCAGGCACCTCAAGAGTTCAGTTTCATGTAAGCACTGAAAAGTTTTTGCATCCCACAGTAAAAAGGAAGAACTCCATCCTTGGGACACAGAAAGGCACTGAGTCAGGCAGTTCATGAATTCACAGAGCAGCTGAGGTGGAGAAGGTGGAAACACCCCTTGAAGACCTGCCTCCTCACCACTCCATTTTTCAGGCATTTTCAGAGCTGACATCAATCTGTGTGGCAAAGGAATTTAGAGCAGCCCTTGCCTATGTAGGTGTTTGCTAGAGCCACCTTGCCCCATGCAAAACAACATGTGGAACAAGGCATGATTGACAGCTGGAGTTAGACCAGTTTGTTCTAAGGAAATGAACTTGGTGAATCCTAAGTTCCCCTTTGAAAAAAGAAGACAAAGAAGAAAGGTGGAAAATAGGCAGCTAATGCCTATCATGTAGAGCCTTCCAGGTGTCTTCTCTGCAGAAGCTCTAATGGGCTGGTGGCCCTTCATGCCAACAGCAAAGCTGTTCATTTGGGAAGTCAGATGGGGCCCAAGCAAACTTTGCCTCTGAATTGTAGCAAAGCTGTAGTCCAGGACTTTGTCTTCAAATCAGCAGCACAGAGCCAAGGGCTCCTGGGACTTTTGGGAATTGCTGATCACATTCAAGCCTGTTGGAGGACTGGTTTCTAAGGACTGCACCTCCAAAGCTTCTGTGGGTGTCTGCGGGAGCCTTCCACAGACAATAGCAGCTGTCAAGGCACTCAGCGTTCTCTTGTGTCGGAGAGACAGAGACGCAGTTGAGGAGAGTCCATGTCGGGGCTCAGCCTCACCTAAATGAGTAATGGATCCTTCCAGCGCTGTCACAGCTGC